GGAGTTTGCATACTTTGTTAGCTCCCTTTGGATCGACAAAACCTTCTGGTTGCATCATATACAACTCTTCTTCCAGAAATCCATTCAGGAATGCAGTTTTGACATCCATTTGCCATATTTCATAATCATAAAATGCGGCAATTGCTAACATAATTCTGACGGACTTAAGCATCGCTACGGGTGAGAATGTCTCATCGTAGTCAACCCCTTGAACTTGTCGAAAACCTTTCGCGACAAGTCGAGCTTTATAGACAGTAATATTACCGTCAGCGTCAGTCTTTTTCTTGAAGATCCATTTATTCTCAATTGCTTGCCGATCATCGGGCAAGTCAACCAAAGTCCATACTTTGTTTTCATACATGGATCCCATCTCAGATTTCATGGCCTCAAGCCACTTTGCGGAATCTGGGCTCACCATCGCTTCTTCATAGTTCGTAGGTTCATCATGATCTAGTAGCATGACTTCCAGAACTGGATTACCGTACCACTCTACGTGGTCCAGCAGTCAAACCCAATACAGTTCTCCTCGAGCAGCAGGGACGATGTTCAAGTCGATGCTCCACCAGTTGTGCCAGTAGTGAGGGTTGTGGAATCTGCAGTACACCCACCAGTGCAATGGCTCGGCCCACGCGCCCACGTTATAACTGTCATTACTGAATGTTTCGAACACATTCAGCACAAATACAAGCTTGCTCTGCTTAATTCGACACATTTTATGTTATATTATTTGGAGTCAATATTATTTAGAATAAGTTCTTCTTATTTATAGACAACCGAGTTGGAACAATTGACATAATTTATTTATACTAAACATTTTTACTTATTTTAATTTATTTTTAACTAACTATTTGTAATACTATAATCAAGAATTAATCATTTTTAGAGGTTAATTGTTGGTATCCCCCAATATCAACCACATACCTACATTTGTAATACTATAATCAAGATTCTTTGTTATACATCTATCATTCTAAATACATACGGTAGGACAATTTTTTACATGGAAATTATGCTATGTTTTCATAAAATCATTGGACACGTTATTAAGTTGAACTATGTCCAAATACAAGCAGAACGTACAAAGTTGTGCTACTTTGATGCTCTAGTGTCTCGGTACATGTTTGTTTTCGGGTACTATCTTTAGATATTGGTAGAGGAGTCTACAATCTGTGTGTTTACCAAATAACCTAACGGAGGTTTAGTAGGATGAACTTACTTAGTTGTAAGGAGCAGAGAAATCTAGATCGTCTGTTTCAGC